CCCCAAAACCCCAAAACCCCAAAACCCCATTAGGTGAAATAAAGGGAATCATCAAATGAAGTAGAGTTATTCAATTATATTCATAATTTAAATTATCAAATTTTAAAATGGATTTTAAGAAAGGAGGTTGGAACCCTAGTTTCAACATTGAGAACTTCTCATCAGATTTACTAGATGATAAGATGGCCAAGAATATCATTGGTGATCTCAAGAAAAATTTGCCTCCTGGTGGATTTCCGAAACATAAACCAGTTATTACAAGTAATACTCCAGGAAGCGGACTAGCATCTGCCAAAGCCAAAAGAGGAATATCGTCAAATGATTCAGATCTCGTTACGAAAATGAGTTAGAGACTACAGCAGTTAGAATCTGTGAATCAGTCATTAAGAAGTGAGGTAAAGGAAAAGAGCCTCAAGATCGAAAAGTTAGAAAGAGAAAATTTCATTTTGTAGACTAGCTCATCTTAAGATTACGCTCGTGTTCTAAAGGAGGCACAGCAAGACAGAGATAGATTTAAAGAATAAGTCAAAGAAATGGAGTAGTTCCTTTAAGATTATGGATTGAAATGGGTCGGTAAAGATGGTTTAAGAGAAGGCAAGTTTGATGAAAAGTCAATCAACCAAGAACTCCTGCACTAGAAGCCTCACTATAAGAACAACCTTCCATCAGAAATTGACACTGAAGTATTGACTAAAAGAATTGAGGAACTCAATTTTATTGCTGAGAAGTAGAGAATAGTCAAGAACAAAGACGGACTCCATCAGTTCTAGAAGGTAGATGACGTACTTATCTTCTTTTTCAAGAATGGTCTTATTATCAAAGGTTTCCCTTTCTACCCTTATTATTCTAAAGAAGCATAGAGTGTTCTAAGTGATATTTTAGACGGCTATTTTCCATATGATCTAAAGAAAAAATATCCTGAGGGTGTCCCACTCAAGCCAGTAGATTGCACAGATGATACTTACACTGCTTAAACCAATTAAAACCCAAAGTTCAAGAACTTTGGCGATTTGGAAAAAGACACCAATCCAATGTCAAAAGAGGAATTCTTGAATCAATTCCCTAAATAAGTCATCAAGGAGGGTAACATCATTCCCATAAGAGAAGAGTTAGAAAAAAGATTTAGAGATACTTAAGAATTAGATATTAATAAGCTGAATTCAAATGAACCTATTTCAATTGAAACTGACGTAACTAGAAACATTGCTAATATTCCAGCAACTGATATTGTTACAATGAGAATCAGATCAGAAACAGGAAAAAGAACTCTAATTCTAAAACTCTTAATTACTGATAGAATTGACAAAGTTTACAAAGCCATTAAGCCTTACATCGAAAATAAGGGGAAATCCTTTGAAGTTAGGACAACATTCCCTAACAAAGCTTATAATGAAGATGAAACCAAGACACTTAAAGAACTTGGACTTGCTCCTTCATGTGCGCTAGTAATTCAGCTCAAATGAAATCTAATTATTTTTACTGATTCGTAAAATTTATTCCCTATCAATGGAGAGTGAGGGGTTTTGGGGTTTTGGGGTTTTGGGG